TATTCAATTAAATTCATTAATTTAGCACCAAAATTAAAATTAAAATTAATATTTATTTTTTATACATTTATGATAAAAAAAAATACCTTAACATGAGACTTGAAAAACTCATAAAGAAAAATAAATATAGCCCACAATCATACTCATATATAGTCCTGCATCATTCATCCTTCATACAATTGAGTCTCACAATTTTCTATATATATTGATTAGGTGGGCTCTTTTTATTTTGCACGATATGCATAAATTAATATTTACATACATACACTACAAGCAAAATGACCTATACTAACGAAACTCTATACCAACGGATGGTAGTCCGTCTGTATAGACCCATGTATATCAATGGAAAACTTAAGTAGTCAATATACATAAGTCTATACCAATGAAAAAATATAACCGTTAGTATAAGGTTGGTTTATACAAACGATTTATATTTATCTGTTTGTATAAAGTATATCTATTCCAACAATAATTATTATCCATTTGTATAAATGTATTTATACAAATGGGTTACTATTCCGTCTGTATAATTCCCTATTTCTTAAACACTTTATTTTCTTTTGCCGTTGGCTTCATTTTTACTTCCCTCCATGGATTCCCCATTTTCCCTCTTTAATTTCCGAGCTTCCTTTCCCAAATCTCCAAAATTCATTTGAACCCATTCGAACTCAAAAACCCAAAATTTAATTAGATGTTTGGCCATCCAGAAGGCCACCAAAAGAAGACTCAAAGTTCTTGTTTGATCTCGTTCCTTGTACTTTCTTTTTACCCACAGAAAAAAGCCATGGTCAGAGGTCAATTTTGGCTTGTGTGACCCGACAATGGAGATCAAAGAAGGCAAATCAGAGCATTGTGAGGGTAGGATCAAACATAGGTTTAGGGCATCCTCTTAGCCCCTATAAATAGGTTGTTAACAAGGAGAAAAGGGGGATTTCGAGAGGAAGCCGACAGAGAGAGGAAAGAGAGGTTGGCCAGTTCTGGCTCCTAGGGAGGTGTTGGCAGTGAAGAGAATTTGTCATTCCATTGCTAAAATCTCTGTTTCCTTGGGCAAGTTTTCAGGTATGATTTTTTATCCTTTGTTGCTTACCCTTGTAATTCCTTTCTTGAAATTAAAATGAAATTTGGGATTGTGGTTTGAGATTGCTCTTTCTTTCATAATATGGAATCTCCTCTTGCTTGTAACATTTTGGAAATTTTTTGTTGAATTTATTAAGTTACACGGATAGCAAGAAAGCATGTGGATTACTAACGTGGCAAAAAAGATTTTTGAAATCCCGCCCAAGCACGAAAAAGATTCAGTTTTTTAATTCCATTTATTTTTCCCCTTTGCTTATTTCACAATCCACACCACACTAAATTGAATCATCTATTTCCTCTCTTTCTTGCTCGCGTCTCCTTATCTTCCAAAGACCCTAACTCTCAGGTAACTCGTTGCGGTGACTCAGTTTTATTTGCACCGTTTCCGATCCATCTTTAAATGATTCTCACTGAATTTGATTGTTTTACGTGCAGGATTTGCCATGAAAGGTGCTAGATCAGAGGTTAACTTGAAGAAAGCTGACAGCAAGTGAGTTCGAGCCTTCAAGATTTTGAATGTGAGATTCAATAGGAGCTGATTCTGAGCTTTCTGTTTTTCTAACACTAGTATTGCTCCTCGTGATTGTGTGAAAAGTTCTTAATAAAAAATGTCTTTCACTTTCCGAGCTTTCTGCTTGACGCATTGCTCATTGATGCCATCGCCTGCTGCCAGTGCTTTCTTCGTCTTCATGTATGAGTGGTTATAATAGGAAAACTAAAACCGTTTCTTGATTATGCTTAGTGCTCTAATGGTGAATTTCCTTTTTTTCTTTTGGTGATTTCAATTCTCTGTTTTACCTGATGAAAACAGGGAGGAGTTCAGACAACAGTACAAAGAAGACCATCCTGACAATAAATCTGGAAAATAATACAATTTTCTCAAATGGTATAAAAAAAATAAAAAATGGTATTTATCAATATAAGAAAGAACAAGTGCAGGAGAAAATAATAGATAAAATAAAACTGAATTATCAATTAAAATTGAATTATCAATTGTTAAAAAAAAAAAAATGGATCTATCTTGATGGAAAAAACTGTTGGTATAGATCTTTGGCCTATAGGTATATATAAATGAAAGTTTGAGTTTTTACTAATAAAATTATTTGTTTGTAAAGGCAAGGGTTTATATAGCCAAAAAAAACCAACGGATAAATCTTCCATTAGAATAGGTACTAAGAGTTAATACCATTGGACAAATTTTCCATTGGAATATACTTGAGGGTCTATATAAACGGATTAGGCATTAGTATAGACT